ACGCTCTTGTCCTCTCTGCAGAAGTGCTACGTGATGAGGCAGGTCTATAGCCCGCGAGGTGTGAGCCAGCTCTTCTGTGCCAAAACCATTGGATTGTTCCCCTTTGTCGTCGGACCGTCAGAGGGACGGAGAAGTGAGGCTGAAGTACCAGTTGTTCTTGAGTGTGATGTGAGGCCACACACTCACCCAGACTCAGATTCCCGAAAGATATATGTGATGTGGCACAGAAATCGTGGTGGACATCAACTCTTCCAGGAAAACGCGGATTCTTTTCCTTACGTAAAAATGCTCATGTAAGCTGGAGCAAATATTTTGAAGAATTATGTTTCCTAGAGAAGTTATGTTGATCTGAGAAACTTGGGTTTGGAAATTGTTTGCGTTCAGGGGTGTTCAGGTCCAGATTTTGGTCTCGTTCTAGCTGTGGGCTCAGGTTTAGATCCTAAACCTCGGTCTGTCACCCCAGTATGCAGAAAGGACTGGAGGGTGTTGGTTTGGGCTGGGAACCCTCCCCGTTGGCAGCCTGGGCTCTGGGCCACCTTGTGCCACGGCTCTGGGAGGCGATGCCTCGCTGTAACGGGAGGCCCAGCTGGCTGAACCCCCCCCCCAGCATCGCAGCCAGGACCCCCCCAAAATTCTCTTCCTCCCAAAACCACTAGCCGAATACCAGGATTCTTCAACGAAGGTGAACTCACCCCCCTCACAGAGAGACGACGACATCTTTTTGGACCGAAAGTCGTGCCAGACAGAAGGCAGACTGTGCCCTGGCAGAGAGGAGCGGTCGCTCGGCAGAGTCCCGGCGCTGGGTCCCTTTCTCTGGGCGCGCTGCCACACACACTCGTGCGCCCGGGGACCCTCCGCCGGGGCCGCAGGGAGCTCTCGCATCGTCTGCGCCGAGGGCTGGGACGGTGCCTGCGAGGGACGAGCGAACAAAGCGTGAAAACCCGGCGCAGCGGGGACTACCAACACGTTCCCTCTTCAGAGGAGAGCAGTTTCGTTAAATCTAGAGTGCCTGGATATGTGGTATCTTAAAAAGAACCAATAAAAACTATTTGTATTTGCTCAAAAAGAAAATTTGCAACAGTGGGATTTATTTATTTTTTTTCAATCTCTCTGCTCTCATCATAACTAGATTGATGATTTCTGCGTTTCTCCTTTTAGGAGGATGACTGGAATAAGTTGCTAGCTGAATTTCTCTTTTATTTTATTCCAAGTTTTAATTCAAGACAGGAGAAGTGTGGCTAAGCTTCTTATTTTATGCAATTATTTTCTGGCACAGGATGCGGGGTCTCTCTAACTACACAGCTATGCATTCCATATTGTTCCAATCACGTTGAGATTGAAAGGAAGGATGTCAGTGACTGGTGACGGCCAAGTGCTGGTGACGAAGCCTTGAGACAGCAGGTGAAGCGGAGCCACGTTCGTCCCGTACACGAGCTTCACACTCAGACCTGGAAATCACTTGGCGGTGGAGTGGATGCTCAGCCCCGATTTGCACATCCCCGTGCCCTCTCAGACAGGTGACGGCACGCGCTTGCACGTACATCCACACGCATCAGCAGGAGCGTGAAATTGGTGATGTGATGCAGAGGTGGCAGACTGAAACTTGGCATCAAGATTAAGAAATACAGGCTATTTTGTCTGTAAAATATGTTTTTAAAGGCCAACTTACTGTATCATTGAGCTTCGGTTCATGCCTCGGTGAGCAAATTCGGTGCTTAGTACAGGATGTAATTCTGGAACTTAAAACCATAAATCTACAAGTTCACACCTATGAATTAACTTCATTCCCATTAGACTCAATGGTGTGTCCTGGGGGTAAAGCAAGGATTTATTGGTCCAGGTATTGAAAATTAAATGACTGAAATCTCCTTTCCTCATCTGCCAGAGAGGCCACGGAAATGTCCCATCGTATGTCTTTTCTCACCCTTGCTCTGCTGCCTTTAAATCAAGGTTTGGCTCCACGTCTTTGTTTACATCCCGAGGATGTCTGCCTCGAGCCTGCTTTGTACGCCGCGTGAGCAACCCCGAACAAACCGTCCCATATCTCAGAGGGAACAGTAAATAAAGGGTCACAGGCAAAAAGGGTGAACTTACTGAAAAAATCCGCTTTTGCTCTTCAGCATCAGGCTTGGGTTTGACTTCGTGTGTTTTAGAGGCATGAAGTGTAATGGAAGTTGTACGTATTCTAATATTGCATTACTGGCAGAAGGCACAGGTTGCCCGATTCCATGCATGCGACCGGACTGGGGAGCTGGACTCTGCCCGGCCAGGCGGCCTACGCAGATGTCCGCAGACTTCCTTGGATAGACCAGTCCCAGATGGGCTTTCAATATTCTCTGTAACTAAATTTAGCTTTAACAAAGTTGTTCTGATCACTTTGCTATGTTCTATGAGCTAACACTCATCTCCACGTTTTAGTTGTTACAAGAATTTTCAGGAATTTGAACATTTCAGCGTCTCTCCGGAGCGCTAAGAGAATCAGGAAGTCTGGAGCTGGTTAAGGCATTGCATGGGCCATTGACAGAGGTCTTCTCTTTTCCCTCCGACATCGTTAGCATCAAGGCAAATTTATCTTTTAGATCTACAAGCCTACAGCCGGCTTTAGAGCCCTCCCGGATTTTCCATCATCCAGAAATGCTTCAGCAACCGCTTTGTTCTCAGCTGCCGGCCGCGTGGTGTGATCTATCGGCACCTCCTTCTCCAGTCAGCACGGGAATGTTAGAAATAAAATATTGTCTTTTCAGATCAGGGCTTGCTGACCTTCCAGGCCACGGGTGCCAGGTCAGTTGTTTGACACGCATCAGGAGCCTGGGCTGGAGCCTTGGCCGAGACGTGCTGCAAGGTCCCCGGGGCAGGAGGTCCTGGGGCTGGCGGAGGGCTCCAGCCCATCAGCGTTGGGAAGAACCAGGTCTCCGGAAACACTGGAGACCCTTGAGCAAAGCAAAACAAACATACGTGAACTCCCGCTGGAGCCAGGGAAGGAGTGTGTGAGAGCATAAGGAAGGAATTACCAGTTTTGCTTCACTGTCTCAAAGAGGATTCGGGGGAAAAGGGGAGAGATGGAAAAGATGTGATTTGGGACTGGTCCAGCCGGTGCTCGGTGGCCCAAGAGGAGGAGGACAACTGGGTGGCACAGGTGGGGGGACGGGGACCCCTCCGGGCTGGGAGGATGGTTTGGAAAGGTGGTATCAGAGCTACAGATGGGCAGCGTGGTGGCACCAGGCAGGTGCATCATCCCTGGTCACCTCAGATAATCCTGCCCCAAATCAGTGCTGAGCTTGTTTGCTTTTATTTCCCACCCTGCACCCTACCCACGGGTGGCTACAGCCGAGCCGCGGCGCACCAGGTCTCAGCGTCTTTCTGCCAATTCCCTGGTGCCCCGCTGTCCCCCGGGGCCTCCATAAAGATCATTATTGGGTCCAGGAAATGATTAAAAATAACGGGAAAAAAAAAACAAGCAAAAAACCGCAGACATCCCCATGAATTCAGGCAACTAGGAAGGGGGACACAGAAATAGCGAAACAGCTTTTCGAAGTTTAGCCTAACTTTCATTTCACTGTAAATGGAGATTCATCGCACTGGTAGTGCTCCAGGGTCCGTGGCATTTCTCCCCAAAAGGTTTGACGGTGCTTTGGTGGATCAGGTTAGGAAATGCCTCTCTGGAGCCACCAGCTCCGGCTGCTGCGAGGGACCTGGCAGCAGAACTCAGGCGCTCCCTTGGTACCATAAACTAGTTTTTTTTTTTTTTTCCCATTCCATTTCGAGTAAATGCTCCTTACCAAACGTTAGCATCTTGCCTGTCAGTGTAAAAAATTACAGAGTTCTGGCAGCCGGAGAAACAAACACCAGCAACACTCAGCGTTTGCAAGTTATCAAACCCCAAAGATAAATATTTATACGGCATGCTACAAACCTCCAAGCCTCGGGCCATAAACCCCGCTGAACTACCGCATCAAGGAAGCGGGCACCAAGCCATCGAGTCAAATCGCTCGCATCCCACTCCCTCCACACCTCTTCCAGCCCTTGGCTCAGCTTCACGCCCGTCTTCTCCCCGCCGTGCCGAGGGCACGGCCCCGTTTTCCCAAAGCGAGAGAAATTCAACGCCGGTGGAATAACATTTCTGAGCTGTCCTGGGCCCCATTGGCAGAGCCGCTGACCGCAGCCCCCCATGAAATCAAGAGAGTGGGGAATGTTGAGGATGGTGGGAAAAGCAGGCTGTAAATTCAGAGGTACGCAGTCATTCAAGCTGCACCCCAACGGAGAAGCATGATATGACACGTAAACCTCGTGGTGACCAAGACCAGGCTTGGCTTAGCAGCACCAGCGCTAGCTTTGCTCAACAGGCTTTAATCCGAATTTATTTCCCAGGTCATTCCTCTTGCTCCCTGTTCCCCAAATGCTTTTGATGACCCCCGGCCGGTCCCCGCTGCCACCAGCCCCTGCTGCCCTCCTGCCCGCAAAGCCAAAGCCAAAACTCACCCAGCAAACGCTACAGAAAGGCGAGAAGAGAATAGTCCAGAAAGCAGATTATATTGCCGTGCTCTGCAAGGAACTTTCAAAAACGCTGCGGACTCCCTCTTCTACTGAGTAGAAGACACACGTTACAGTAAAAAGCATTACAGTTAATTATTTTCCTGATTTCCCCCGACCGCCCCCCTCTTAACTTCTTCTTTTTGGCAACAACTTTTTGCAAAAGATACATTTTTCTAGGTTGGAAAATTTTAAATTTTATTTCTACTCAGGTTTGAATGATCTCTGAGTAAGTTTTTTCACTTGCACATTTCTTGCTCATTTTTTCCCCTCTTCTGCTTTTTTGCTTTCAGTCTTTTCTACAGTACTTCCTCCACTTCAGAATCATTCGACAGTGACAAAGAAAATGAAAAAAACTAGGAATTTTCCAGTTTTGGGGAAATTTTGAAAAGTTATAGAACAGAGGAGAGAATTAAAAAATGAAAGGAAAACACATTTTTAAAATGACATTCCATTATGAAGGGGAGAAAAAGCAGGAAAAAGAGGGAAAATCAAAACAGCTAAATATCTTAAGCTCTTTTTCAGCATTATTAAATCTTTAAAATTGCTCAGCTAAAAACGTGAAAGAAGCAGCAAATTTGATTTTTTTTGTTTTCCACAGACACATATAAACAGTAAAAGGAGAAAGCACGCTGAGATTAGATAAGAAGGGAAATTATCTTTTTTACAGTCAGAAAGTGATCGAGGAAAGCAGAAAAGTCCTTACGCGCGCGAACGCTGTCGGCAGTGTCTACAGCCACCGAGACCCTGCGCACCTCGGAAGCAGAGGCTGAGGGGCCGGGCTCCAAGGTTTGTTTTGAACCCCGGCACCCGTCTTGCAGGCTGTTAGGCTGGGAAAAAAAAAAAAAAAACAAACCCACAAACCCTGCATTTCACCCGTGGAGGTGGAAGCTGCTTCCGCACCAGCAAATGTCGCGGTGCCGGGGAGCGCTCCCGCGCGGTGGCACTCCATCCCCGCCCGCCCGCCCGCGGTGCTGATGCCTCAGACCTCTCGCGCGGCACGAAGCTCTCCCTGGCCCGTGCTGACAGGTGTTCTTCTCATGGTCCAGGAGCCGGCGGGGCTTTTGGAGGTGAGCGAGGTCCACGGTACGGCAGCGGGATGCTCCTCCGACACGGCCACGGAGGCGCCAGCAAGCTCTACAGGTGGGTGGTGGCCTCGCGGCTCTCCCGCTCTCTAGCCTGCGCGACGGCGACGTTGATGCACTGAAGCCACTCCTCGGCGTTCTTCTCGTCTTTGGCCTTGAAAACGTAGGTCTTGCTGTCGGTGAAGATCTCAAAGGCCCGGGGCAGGCTGCGGTCCCTGCGCTTCTTTGCCACCACTTTAACGCTCTGCACCTTGCTGAGCTCAATGGGGCAGTCGTCGGGGTCGTCTTTCTGAAACACAGGGAAGACAGACAGAACCAAGATCATCTGGTAGAGCTTCCACCGCCTTCACACACAGTTGGTGCCTCTAGAGCTGGGCTCGTCAGCACCGCTCGTGCGGGCGGACGCACTGATGGGGATTTCCCAAAAGAGCCTTGGGGGAGTTAGAACCCCCCTGCCACGCAGCGCCACGCTCCCCCACTGAACACCGTCGGGTTTCAGGGGCTGTCGTGCACCCAACAGCCAGGGGTCCACACCGATGCCCGTGAGCACTTCCCCCCTCCGCATCTGCACTTTTTTAGTTCCACCTTCAGCTTTCAACGTGGGCTTGGATTTGCCTTCCTCTGGCTTTTAATAATGGTTGAGCTCTGTTATCGGGACCAGGCAGAGCTCACGCCGGTGGCAAATCCTTCCTAGGGACAAAAACCAGCCAGTCCTCGGGGACTGACCCAAGCTCTTCTCTTAAGCAGTGGTAAGTTGTTCCCCCCTCTCAGACTCTCCACTTGAAACTGGAAGCAGCAAGTCCTTTTGTTGGTTTTGAAAACAGAACAGGTACCTCGAGTCTGGCCCAGGGACCTGAAGGGTTTCTCAGTGGGGAATTTCTCAGTGGGGAATGGGGAATACGGGACAGCTCACTTGCAATCTTGTTTGAGAACATATAAAGTAGGTCTGTCTAGGAAATCTTAGTGTCATTGTAAGAAATATGATGCAGTGAGCGTAAGAGAGAGTTGTACAAAATCATGGAAGCTTTCTGTGAGAGAAGAGATCCGTGAGCTCAGGAAAAAAATGTACTAATTGGGTCTCCAGGTGCAAAGTTTAAGCCCAAAGCCCTGATTCCTCCAGAATGCTTCTCCTGGTGAGCTGCTTATACTTTTTACCAGAAGGAGCAGGGCAGATTTTCCAAACAAAAGCTTTCTGCTCCTGTCATATAGGAAAGGGCTGGACTGATCTGAGTGAGAATTAGTGGTTAATTATCTCACAGGAGCTGAGCACGACCCAGGAGAGGCTGCGGTGTGGGAACTGCTGCCTCCAGAGCTGCTCTCCCAGCAGCCCCGCTCCGAAACACAGGACCAGAACTGGGCGGGGAGACTTCTCCTGCACTAATGTCTCAGTCCTTCTGGGAAAGAACCGGGAACATTTTATGTTCTAAGGAAAAGTTCATCTGAAAAGACCACCCAAAAGGAGGCCCAAGCCCAACGGCTGTGATTCCTCTCTAGGATTTGATGGTCCCCTGCCATTACCACTGATCTGCCGTTCTTCCACGTTCATAATGAATACCCAGCACGCGTTTCCCAACTTTTAGAGCTCTTCTGTGTTGCATATATACGTATTGTTTGCAGTCAAGGTCTCCCACATTCCTGAAGTGCCGTGATCCCTGAGCAATCCCCTCCTTGTGACTCAAAACCAGCCTTGAAGTCCATCCCTTGCCCGGAGCAGCTCTCTGGCAAGAGCGGCAGGCACGGCCCCCCTCGCAGGGCCAGTGGCTGGGTGACACTGGGTGAGCACACGGAGCCCTCCGGGACACGGGAGGTCCCTGGGCTGCGAACGGCGGGGATAGCGCAGAGCCGTCATCTTCCCGGCCCAGCTCCACCCCCTGGCATTGCTGTTCCTCCTCCTGGGATGGGACATTTATTTGTCTGCCTCATTTCTTATCAGGGACCCTATTCCAGCCCTGAGGATTTTTCTTTAAAGGGATAAGTCCTCACGAAAACGTTCAGTTCTGACCAAACGGCTTTCCAGGAGCAATGAAGTTCATCTCCAGCTTCACCTGGGAACGAACGTTTCTGCTGATTCCCTGTGCACGACCACAGGAGCTGCCCACCTTCCCCTGCTTCCACAAACACCAACTAAGGCTTGATCGACAGCATTAAGCTGGCTCCGCACCGAAATCTGACCTGGGATAAACATTATGAAAATCATATCACAGAAAATACAAAGCAGCGATAGACCCGAGGACCAAAACTCTGCAACCCATGAGCCAGACCCTTACATTTAGGAGACCGTCTAGCAAAAATGATATATTCCCTTCATTACCACACAGCGTTTGACCTCAAGTTGCTACAGAAAGCTGATTGTACCCTAGGCACATTTCTGGGGAAGGAGCTTACCACAATTTTCCAGGAGTTGAAGATGTGGCTCTTTTTCAGACCTCTTATATTTTGGTTTTCTCCTGCCTCCCCTTCACCCACTGGCCATGCAGTTGCTCACACAGAGCGAATATTGTCCACGCGGTTGCTCCGACGAAGGGAAGGTTCATGGTGGGGCTCCAGGAATAAGCAGGCACAGCCAGCTGGCCATCTCACAATACCTCCTCTGTGCTGGTTTGTATTTTCAAGCGAGCAGCGTGTAAAGTCCAAACACCCACGCAGCACCCAGCCCTGCTCCACGACGAGCTCAGCCAGGCAAACGCCGACTGAAACAAGCCCCAGATGCAGCTGGGCAAGAGCCTCTGCCACCAACGTTAGCTGGCCACAGCCCGTCGCCCCGCGCGAGGAGCGGGGCTGCTCCCTCCTGCGGGATCTGAAAATCAGGCTTTTACTACCCAAACCACTTCCGCGAGGCTTCCCGCCTCCAGACCCGCTGAAAGGGCTTAAAAGTTTGTGCTTGGTGTCTGCAATCCTCAGCCCAGGGCGCGTGGTGCAACCTACACTGGTGGGCTCCAGGCTCCGAGCCAAGCCGTGGTTAACAGCGAGGCCCGACTCTCGAATTTAGGCCAAAACTGTCGAAGTGGCAGGGTACAACGCACCAGCTTGAAAGACGGGTGACCCAGGCGCGATAACCCCGCTGCTGTCCCGGGGGGTCGGGGGGAAGCTGGACGCCAGCCTGCCACGCTGACGAACCAGTCCAGGTATTTGTGTTCAGCTTTAAAAAAAAGCAAAGAAGCCCTGGGTTTTCCAGTTAGAAAGGGCAAGTTAAGATATATGAATTACACTGTGGAGCAAAACCTGCTGTTCAGCAATCTAATCTGCCAGCTTCCCCCGCCTGTGACGCACTGTACGTTCCCCACGTGAACAAGGGGAGCACTGAGAATGCAAATCTAAGGAGGCAACAGCATCCCAGGAGTAATCAAGGTATTCTGATGTGCCTTATGCCTGGCTTGTTTGGAGAGCTAATTAAAGCCATTCCATTAAATACATTTCTCTAAGCCAATCGTCTTGCTAAAAAAATGACACTTATTCTGACACCCTTTCAAAAGTGAGCATCAGCCAGTACTGAGTGGTAGCTGTGAGATGTGTATGGATTAAACTGTCTTCAGAACCTCAACCGAAACAGAAAAAGTTACTAGAAATTAAGGAAAAGGCTGTTTCCTGAACTACTTGCTTTCAGAAGGATTGCATTGTCCCACGAAACGTGTTCCTCCTAGGCAGGACACCCTGTTGTATTTCTTATAGGAAGGGGCTCAGGAAACCATTTGAGAAGCTTAAAGAGCTTTGCTAAATTTCTGTAAAAATAAAGATTATTTACCAGAAATATGAAGCTTTGTCTATAGTTGGAAGATTCAACTGTTTTTGCACTAAGAGAGAGCTCATAACGTAAAATAAATAGACTATTTTGTACAATGATAATTCTCATTGCAAAAAGCTGAGGAAAATTAGTTTCTACTAACTGAGAAGTAATGACTAATGAGGACTGGATTCAATTACCTGCTCTTCCACGCCCTGGGACACGCTCCTCTGTGAGTCTATTGATATAAATTTCAAAAAATTTCACAGAAATTTCAGCAGGATTTCTCTGAATTTAGATGAAGGTAGAAATGAAAGCAAAAAAACTCTCCATTCCTTTGGGAGAAAAGCGTTCTAGCATCACCTTGCTTTAAACACACCTGTATTTCCTGCACAAATAACACCTGTTAGAATGCCATCATCTCAAGAACAGTTATTAATGTACAAAAGCAGGCAAGAACTTTCAAAAAAGGTGAACAGCTGCTTGGCTTTGGAGACTGCCCCGAGGTGTTGAGAAGGGCCTGACTTTCCAGATACGCTGAACACAGCCATCTCCCCCCAAACACTGCTGGTCCCAGGGAAATCGGGGCCCCAGAAATGACAGCTCCCTTGCAGCGCGTTGCCTGTGGCTGCTACGTGCGTCGCTGTCCCATGCCTTTCACTTTGCAAGTGGAAAAAATACATTTACCTGAGCAGAATTTACCGAGTTTGTGCTCTTTCAAGGAAATAAAGAATCACCGGTCAAGACTGGAAACTATTTTTTAACCCACTGTAATTCCTTCAGGAGCAGGAGCTTTCGCAATATCGGAGGTGACCCTGGGATGCCTCGAGGCAGAGGGGATGATGCTCAGGCACAGGTCACCAGCTACCAGGGTATAAATCAGTGAGCTGCAGTGCTGAGCCCTGGGCATTTTTTGGCTGAACAAGAGCCGCGCCAGTCTGACACTGAGCACTCTCGAAAATCTTACGCTCTTGATCCAGAGAGAAAAATATAACTGAAGCTGGTGAGCAGCCCTTTGGCTGGAGTCAGCCGTACGGGTACTGAGACCACGGGCAAAGCTGAGCGGTCAAAACCTCTGGGAAATGGTGTTGGGGAGGAGGGAAAGAGAGAAATCAAATTGATGGTCTTCTGACTTACAGATTTTCCTTTCCGAAAAAGCAGCTGGTTGCCAGCCAGAGTGAAGTACCGAGTTTTCCACCTTTTGATAAACTTCCACCGGACTTGCTTCTCTTTAAGCTTGCCTTCAATCAGAGGTTGGCCATCCTGATTTACAACTGGGGAGGTGAACACACAACGAGGGGGGTTATTTCTGTCCTCCCTTCGTCCCAGCCGAAAGCCCGGCTTTTGCTGCGATGCAGAAAAGTTTTCCTGCAGTTTAGCTGCGTCAGCTCCAAGGCCACATTCCTCCCGACCTCAAGCATTCAGCTGTCACTTCAGAGAGACATTTCAGCCCTTAGTCATGTTTTGCTTGGGAGGCCTCGCAGATGGAGCTGACAGCTCTGACTCCTCTGCCCATCACTTCTTCTATTCCCTGAACCATCACGTACTTCTCCCCACCATTACGCCTCCCAATTGTTCCTCAGCCCTGCAACGATAATTCATAATTTCATGCAATTAAAAGTAGGGATTTATGTTGTCTCTGAGGTTTTAATCCACACTACAGAGTTCACTCCAGTTATATTCCTGCTGTGCGGCGTTTTGGGTAGGAATATTTTGAGGATCTTGCTCTCTGTTAACTGCAATAGCCTGCTTCATTGCAGCCGCAGCCCTATGGAGAAGGAATTAAGAGCCAGAAGTGGGATGTCCGAGGCACCAGACACCATCCCACGGGAACGACTGCCAACCTCTCGTAGGTAATTCAAGCCCAGAAACGTCACTTTTTACCGAGAAAGGGGTTGGTGAGTCCCAGGGCTTTGTCTCCCAGACAGGACCCTTCCCTTCCTCACAACTCCTCCTTCCCTTGGGAAAGGGATGTGTTTGTTGTCAGCCCTCTCTTACCCAGTGTTCGAGCAATAACCTAGCCCTGCACTTTGTAGAGGTCGCTCCCTGTTACATCTTTATTAACTTCTCTAGTTCTCTCTTCAGGAATTTTTCAAAAGTCATTTAACATTAGAAAACCATTTTGTAAAAACTAATCCTTACAACAAAACCAGAGTTACTTATGTCCCGTAAATCTCACAGCACTGACCGTTTGGGAATATGATGTTTTCTATCCCTTTTGCATTTCTAAAATAATACGATTTATTTTGACATCTGGACTGCCAAAGGCCAGAGCAACTCACAGCTCAGTCCCCCCGGGACCCGGTGTCTGTCCTGCTCCCTCAGGAATAGTCAGGGTCTTTGCATCCTGTTACCCACTGAGGACATCGATGTTTTTACCATCTTGTGGCAAAATTTCCTTACAAACTACTGGTGTGTCATTGGCCAATAACACTGCCTCGCCTGTACCCTGGGTGGTAAGAGCTAAAACAGCATTTCTGCCACGTGCGTGCGTAAATGCCATCCTTGCAGAGCCTGCTCTAAATACAAGATGAGTAACTCTGCCCAAGCCAAAGACAAGGAAGGAGGAGGGAGAGACAGAAAAGCTCCCGTCCCCCCCAGCGACCTGCACTGCAGTGCGTTGCCCACGAATAATTTGAAGTGTAATTAAAAATACACGGTGTACAGCATAGAGTTCAATAACTGTGGTGACTGTAATCAGCATGGAAGCAGAAATACAGGCACACTCTGAACCTTACCTTCGGCTCAGCCACTTCCCAGTCCTTATTCTACAGTGGTCTAAAAAATGACTTCAGTTTGCCTTTGAAAAATAATTTATGCTTGTCACTATAGAATTTCCTTCAGTCAACTCCCTTCAAAATAAAACCCAAACAAAATCTCTAGGAAAGGAAAACCTTTTTTTCCCCTGTTGCAAAATTATTGCTATGTTTACAAATACTTGCAGAATTCCAAGCACTGCGTGAATATTGAGAAGCCTTGCATCTTCATTTACGGCGTGTTTGTAAGGATGGGACCACCACCACCACCGGCCCTGTGACCTCAGCTGGAAGCATGCGAGGTTTGGGAGCTGGAAGAACGTTCCCAAACCTTGCATGCAAAAAGGAATTTTCCAGCAGAAGAAAAGCCCAGCAGCCGAGGAGTCATCGTGGGCTTTAAGCCACGATCTCAGAGCAACCTCAAGCCACTGCCCTTCACATATGGAGCAAACAATTTAAAAATTCTCTAATACCATAGCTGGGTTTCTTTTTCCTTTCTATTTTTACAGCGATAGACAGAACACGATGGACCGGACTGACTGAAGAGCAGTCCAAGGCATAAGCAGTCTGAGAACGGATGTTTTTTGATGTGATGTTTGACTTGGAGCCCTTCCCAGCATCTGTCGGATGGTCAGTTATTCTCTGGCTGGCCCGACTTGCATACCTTAGCATTGAAGTTTATCCAGCAAAGCTTTTTCTTGAAAGTGTTTGCTGTTGTCTGTGCACGAGGCTTTTAGAGCCCAAAATGCAGTAGGTTGGTGTGATGCTGAGGACACAAGGTGAGCGGGGTGGCCGGAGCAGCCACCAACGGTAGCACCTGGGGTTTCAAAGGCTTTATAGCATTTTGGGCACATACTTATCTTCACTGCCTCTTGTCTGGCAGAGGCAAAACAAAACAATGCAAATACAATGCATCAGATTTAGATAAAGAATGTATTTTTTTCCCCAGTGTTGTTTATATTGGCAGACAGGCAGGCTTTAGGGGTCTTCAGTGTGTACTATTGCAATTTCCTTAAGAAAGACTGTAAGTATCTTTCTCTGTACAAAAGGAGTTTCTGAAAGATGATGGACTGAATGAAAAAGGGGGTGGCCAACTTTCAGCTTCAATGGGGAACTGCAGCTGTGATTTCCAGGATAAAAACAGCTCCCTCTGCTCCTCGCAGCCCGCTGCATCCCTAGCTGGATGCAGCAGCTCTTTTTTTTTCTGTAGGTTTGCATGCCAGCACCGTTGCGTTACACCACCCAACCTGGCACGGGACAAAGTAAAACAGAGGCTTGCTTCCCCACTGCAAAATGGCACAAATTCACAGGGGAGCTGGTTTGGGGCCGCACTCATTTCACAACACGCTTCCGAGCAGGCTGAGCCACATTTTGCAGTGTGCCCCTTAATAAAAACTTTGCAACTGTGTTAAATAGTGATCTCAGAACTGCTGCAGATACACGATTTCACTTGCTTCAGAGTCTTCCTCAACTGACAACCTTTTCTTCCCAGCCTTTCAGAGAAGCGTGGCCGGAGTGGGGGCTGTCTTCAAAGAAATACTCAGTTTATGTGAAAATCCTGGAAAATGGGACCAGGAAAATGCAAAGCTGAGAGGATTTAAAGTCTTCCTTGGCCGTGAGGACGTTACGAGGTGCGGTGATGGGGTGCTTCCACGAGAGTTCTTTGCTGAGGGCGGCCTCTGGGGCCCCCGGGCACTCAAAATTGGTGGAGCTGGGGCTGGGAATGAAACCTGGGGTGCAGGTTTTTAAAGCCTCTGCTCAACGGGCTGTGCCGAGGCGGGTGGAAGAGGCCACGGGGAATCTCCCTGCTCTATGGCAGAGAAAAACGAAACAGGGCAGACCAAACTGCCCAAATTCCATCCATCCCCCCCTGCCTCCCAAATTCCATACGACCTCCCTGACGTGGGTTTCTGAAGCACTGGTCCAGGGCAGATATCTTTGTGAAGGAGCCTCGTGCCACGCAGTCTACGCTGAATTTACACTCCTACAAATTAACTGCCGATGAACCGATGGCGAAAAATTCCTGCAGAGGCACACTCCCCACTTGCTAGACAAGAGAAACGATATCCTGTGGCAAAACTCCCTAATAACAACTAACCCCGTTCAAACAGAGCAGAAAGCAGCTGAAATCCAGCTCGCACCGCTAACAAGATGCACCCAAGATACCATCAAATGCCACTGAACAAAAAAGTACCGGAGAAAATAATAATCCAATTTGAACAAGGAAAAAGCTGTTTTGTTTTTTTTTTTTTTTTCAGATAAATTTGTTTCTGCAAAAAACCCTGGGTCCATCAGGCTTGAGATAAGCCTTGGCTTTGTCACCCGAGCAGGACCGTGCCGTCGTTTCTGCCCGTGGCTCCTGTCAGAGGGGACACCATCTGCCAACAGCAGCTTCAGGGGGGAAACGTACCAGGAACAGAAGGGTCGCTCTTCTTTCTAAACAGCTTTCTAAGGCTGTATCAGGTATTATCTGGCGTTTCTGCAGCCGAGATTTGCTGGGGCACCCGTAACGGTCACCCTGAAGAGCCATTCCTCTCCGGGAGCTGAGCAAAAGGCCAGTCCCATGAGTACAAGCCCTCCTGCTCTCATAGCAGCCACCTCATCTTCTGGTGACTTCGCGCCCCGTTTGTAAAATCAGCATTATAATTATTCAGATTTGTGAGAACAGATAAAAAGTTTAAAAATTTAATAATTAGTTTCAAACAGCATCTAAGCAAAGCTTATTGCGCAAACACCTCATCAAATTTCTAACTTAACGGTGTACAGGATAATATCCCTGTCATTCCCGTAATTTGCCATTCACATGCGCACTCTCTTGGTGGAGGATGTTTTCTCACCATGAGAATATGCAGTTTGGTGTCAGGAAATCACCCTCTCTGTCGCATGTGGGTGATAATAGCAGGACACGGCTCCATATCGTCTCCCAGGCCGAAGTGTCAGAACCGCTGTGACAAAGTCTACCCAGAGAGAGACAGAGAGCAGCAAAAAGCTGTGAACGTGGGAAACTCAAACCAGCATCACCAAGTAGCAAGCTTTCCTGAAGTGTGCATGAAAGGAAGAGGAGAGAACTTCACTTTAATAAAAGATGGCAAAGACAGGACAGGAAAAGAATTTTTACTCCTACGTGATAACGGTAAAGAATTCATAATGGGCACAGTGACTTGCAGAGCATGATGGCAGCTGTATAAACATCCAGATACAGCAAAAGAAGGACTTGATATGAAAAGACAAGTGCTCAGTGGTTGGGATTTGTGCATCTACCTGGCTCCCGGTGCCACAGGAGTGGCTTCAGGAGGGATTCCAGAGCGGTAGGAACATGCTTTAGCCCAAACTAAGGAGGTGTAAAGCACAAAAAGATTGGGGACCAGAAGATACTGAGATGGTTTAGTGGTCAGTTATGCAACATGAGAAAGGAAGTGAATGTGCAATTTTGGCCTAAAGTGGATTTTTATGGCCAAAATCTTTCAAAAACAGGATTTACTAAAGCAATGCTGATCTCCCTTTAAGTGCCCGGTGGC